CTACAATTTGCAGATGACTTTCAACTCAGTGCCTTTGTCACAAAGGCGTGTAATTTATGTTAAATTGATTTGCTTAATGTGCTTAAAAAATAAGATTTTTTCATATTTTCTGAGGGAACAGTCTAAATTGTGGTGTTTAAACCTGTTTAATCGGCTCCCTTGTCTGTGTGGAAGGATTACAGTGAAACGTATAAAGATACACTCTCTTTTACTTCTTTAAGTTGTTTGATAGGTATTAAATACATAAAACATTTATATGTTGTTAAAACTCTATTATAAAATTGTAGGTTATTTTGCTGTTTGCTGTTATTTGATCTTAGTGGTGAAGACCCTAAGGGTCAAGTAAAAGTGGTTTAATTCTTTAGGGAAGAATAAGACTTCTTTYGTGCATTAAAGTCTTGAAAATGCAGATAGGAGGGTTTTTGTGTTGGTAAATTTTGATGAATTTGGACAGTACAAAAATGAGCAACCAGACAGATGCAAACAGAGACAGGAACATCTGCAGAATTGGGTGTGGGCGTCCGGGTCAGAGGGATTATGGGTGAAAAGGTCCAGCTTTTAATTGCTGCTTTGGAACTGTGGCCTGCCTTGTGGAGCACAAAAGGCCCATCAGACAYGCTTCAATAGCTTGGACTCCTGAATGTTTGCCTGACCGGTGGAATGCCCCGCTTTCTCCTACTCACCCCCTCTTCAATTCAAATCCATTCCTGACCATTGAATTTATGCTTTTTTTMCCCTCTGACCTGTCTCACCTGGGGGGCTATAAGAAGCCATTCATACATGTACACGTGTTCAAACACAAAGCAAATCTTAAAGTACGGCAATAGTCTGGTCATTATTAAAGAGATATTCTGTCATATAGTTATTAATAGTATCAGCCATGATATCAGTCATAKAGCATGATGCTGAAGATTTTGTCCAGGTTAATCTAATGACTAGCTAAACATGGGCTTGTCTTTTAGACTTTAGACCAGTGTTTTTCAACCCTGGTCCTCAAGGCACACTGTCCTGCATGTTTTAGATGTTTTCCTGCTTCAACACAGCTGATTTCCATTGCTAACTGATTAAGAGGCTTTTGTTGAGCTGCAATCATTATGAATCAGGTGTGTTAAAGCAGGGAAATTCTAAAACACGCAGGGGAGTGTGCCTTGAGGACCAGTGTTGGGAAACACTGCTTTNAAGAATGATTATTGTTGTTAGCAGACCTTGTTCTGACTTTAATCATTCTGTCTGCAGATGAACAGCATGTCAGGAAAATCTAGGTCATTAAAGGATGTCATGTATTACTTGCTTAAACATAAAGTATTATTTCTACCACAAGATGTTTTCCTGCTTCAACACAGCTGATTTCCATTGTTAAGAGGCTTTTGTTGAACTGCAATCATTATGAATCAGGTGTGTTAAAGCAGGGAAATTCTAAAACACGCAGGGGAGTGTGCCTTGAGGACCAGTGTTGGGAAACACTGCTTTAGACTGTGATATGCCACATACATCTGCATAGAATGGTGTATGCTCAGCACACATACATTTGCATAGGGTTGGGGATGTTTGGTTGAAAAAAGCAGCACTAAACTAAACAAAAGGTGTTGTGCAAAAGTTTAGAGGTTTAATATTATGTATTGTTTTTTATACAGGTATGTCATTTTTGAGAAAGAACAGTTTTATAAGCCTAAATAACTATCAACAATAGCCCTCGTTTGGCTTAGTCAAGCATGTAGAAAGACTTTTGCCCTTTTTTTTTATACGCCACGCTCTATGACTGATTTCACAGTTAAGATACTGGCTGTTGTTAACTATTAAAAAAAAACATCACTCACAAACTCACAGACTATCCCTTTAGGTTTTGTTGTTTACACTATTTCCTACCTTATGAAATGGGGTTCTTTGGAARGCTAATAAAACATTAATTAGAGATTTTAAAATAAAACAACAGAAACCCACTGGTTTAYGCCCCACTCAGTTTAGCTGAGACCATTCAAAGAGCCATCTATAACAGGGAAATACTTACTCTTTATAGCCTCTCTATAAAAACTCTCTCTAAAAGATATGAACTCTCCTTTTAATTCCAGCTAACAGAATGTGTTACGGACAGTTTTAAAGAGTTAAAAGTACAAGGACAGGGAAGAATAAATAGCACCTAGGTCCACTCGATCATGCAGGAGCCGACAAATGGACCTGCATACTCACATGCAACACAAGCATTTGGACAATTTCCTGCATAAAAAGCAGAGAAATGAAAGCAGCCACTTTATCRAACACATGCAGAAGTGATTAAAGATGGTATCTGTGCAAGCAGAACAAAAAATGTCTTTGGTTGGGTACGATTGCTACATATGTATTCATGCGGGAGTGATTAGAGGACAAGTTCTTGTTTAATTCTCTTTTGATTGGTTGGGTTGTAATTGCACTGTGTTCCCCCCTCCACCTCTTTTCTCTCTCTCTCTCTCTTTTGTAAGCAATTGCTTACAGATGTTGTTGTCGGGTCAGAACGGATGACAGACTGTGGTTTTTCAGGGGGTTGGGAAAAAACAAACAAAGCGCACAGTGTTTGTCTGAAGTTTACCCCTCAACACTTCCCCCTTGCCTTCCTTCCTTTGGGAGTTGGTAAAAAAACCTCACCCCCCCACCCTCCCTCTAGTCTCTGCCGCAGTATTTCTTTTTGCATTCAAGCTAACTTTACCGCCTTTGTATCTGTGCATGTTTATGGAGTGGAGTGCAAAATAAATAGTACAGCTGGGTAATTAGCTGGGTTTTAATGTAAGGAGAATGCTTGTCAGACTAAATATTTCCACTGGTTTTCCATGAATTATGGAGTCTGTCCTGTATTTTGTGCTGTATGTCCTGTACTTTGAGTAAATGAGTGGTTGTGTTGGATCACCAGCCGTAATCAGAGGACCTACATAACCTAGATAGATTTGCGCTCGTAGACGGCCTCTGAGGTGCTGAACTGAGCAACATGTCTGCCAGACTTTTGGCTGAACCCCTTCTAAACCCACAGACAGCATTAACTTGAACCACCTTTATTCTTTGAAAGAAAAATTGCCCGGCACCATGATATTCCCAAAGGGGCCTTCAAACAAGTCTTGTTTTTTCAGGACTGTGAGTGTTTCTCTCTCTCTGTGGTATCCCCTTAAGGTTTCTCCTTTCTCTCTTGAAAAAAAAAAAAAAAGAAACGAGTACTCGAACGGGATTATCAGTATATCCACAAGCTGCCTTTTCGTTTATTCTGAGATATAAAACCTTGTCAGGATGTCCTGCCTTACACTCTTCATTGAGCTGTTGTTTTCTGCACTATAAGTCAAAAAGTTTCGTTAAAAAATGAAGACAAGCTAAGTTTTAGTTATTTGACTGCGATTAGAGCTGGAGGAGCTCAGTGTCACGACAGGCAGATCTGAGCCCAGCAGGTTTGAGTTAAAATAAATCAGGGTGAGCTGCTGGATTGACCTGTGCTCTGCTTTGGGCATCATGAAAAAAGGGAGGACTGGATATGAAGTTTTCCACTGCACTGATGCACAACAGAACCCTTGTCTTGAAGCACTTTATTGATAAACTGTTTTACTTTGAGTTTATCAGATAAGCCCTTTAAAATGAACGTAATAAAATATAACACACAGTCTAAATGGATTTATTTGGTGTCGGAACAAGAGTGGCAAAACTGTTTCAGAACGTACGTTCATTCTGTACACATGTTGGAAAACTACACATTTAGTATGTTGGTACTCAGAAATCTACTCAACTGTGTGCAAAACTCTCAGCAGACGCCATGAACAATTTGGTGTCACCGTGGACCTTTTTTGCTGACTTGATTTTCATGTGCACTTGTGCAGCATACCCCTCTCTGCAGATACTGGGATATGTTCCTCCAGGTGCAACCTATAATAGGAACATGTCTGTTTCCCTGGTGGGCCAACGTTATCAGTGTGTGCGTGTTTGCTAATTGGTACCGCTATCTTTTTAATGCATCGAGAGGTTTTTGTCTCTGCATGCACAAGATGTTGGGACCTTTTTTTTCCTTACACGCTCTTCTTGTATCCATACTATTTTCTTTGAGTCAGCTGCACTTTGAGGTCCACAGGTGGCGATAATGTGCTGGTTTGATAACCCAAAAGAGCAGAAGAAAACAACTTCAAGTGATTTCTCAGCAGGAATTTGATGCATTTTTTTTGTTTTCTCTATTCCTTGAGTGATAAATTGCCCCAATGTTGCCAACAGTGAACACTCCTTGTTATTTCTTTTACTACTCATGGTTTTATTCACTTGTTTGGTGCCACCTTATGATTGCCGCACGTTCATTGTCAGCTCCTACAATTTTTGTGGTCACAAAATCTAGGCTGCACATGGTTAACTGTAGAAATACTTGGCAAGCTCTCATGGACCGGTACAACTGCCAGAATTTGTCACATTACCTTGTGATTGAGAGGTCCAGGAACTAGGGTTGGGCAATATTGGCAAAAAAATTAATCACGATTAATTGTGGTATTTAGCCGATAACGATTCATTTAATGATTAATCCCCTGGACACCCTTATGTCCTGGTCACATGACCAATTTAGTGGGAAAGATTTACTTTTCATAAAAATCTGTTCCAAACTGTGTCGAAATTACAAACTTCAGGCTATACATCAAATTTTAAATTGTGTTGATAGATAAATAAATTACAGAACTTTTTTTTTAATGTTTGTCATATTTGAAGCAGAGAGGAGCACTGAGCCGACTCTGCCTGGTGGCATTAATCGTATAAATCGTCAAGTGCCAAAAAATAATCGATTAATGTTTTTCTGACAATTAATTGCACACGATACGAGTATGCTCAACCCTACCAGGAACTTTAAATCCAACCTTATAGTGGGCAGCACTGGTAGCTGCAGAGTTTCTGTGAACTGAAGAAAGTGTGATGGGGCTGAAAGCTGTGCGTTCTCAAAGAATATACCGTTCAGAGCCTCTTTTAAATCAAAACAAATATGCTAATTGATCTTGTGGTGCTTCTTTCTTTTTCAACAGTTGCCCAGTCTCCATGAGGTCTTAAGGAATGAGCAGTCACTATGGAGACCCAGTCCCAGGCCAGTTCTGCAGCTGAGAAGAAGAAGAGGGTAGAGACCATTGTTGCTACAAAAGGCTCATCTGCACGCACTGATATTAGTGAGAAAGCAGTGGCCTCCAGTACAACCTCAAATGGTAAATATTGCCTGTTACTGTATACTGGAACTCTGTGGTTCATGTTCACATTACTCAAAYGATCAAGAACACATGTGGGTTTGTAGAAACTCGTTCACTTATCAGCTTAATTGTTGAATAAGATGCTCCTATCACTCTATGCAGATGATATTTAGATGATCTTATACAGAAATATCAATATGGAAACAGGATGCAGGGATGACTTGTAAACATATAATACAAAAATACAGAAGCAAAGCTAACAGAAATGCAAATAAATACACATTACACTCAAGTATATACAATTTAAAGGAAAACTAACTTTGAACTGTCTCTTCTAACCTTTTCTTTGTCAAAATCTTTATTTTATGTGAGTTTTAATCGTTAGAAGTAAATGTTTGACACTATAAATTAGGGATGCACCGATATGAAAATTTCAGCCGATATCGATACAATTATTGCTGTAATGGCCGATAACCGATATTTACCATATTATACAAACATATAATTTATATTATACATATACGCACAAACACACTTGGGTCTTTTTTTGATATGGTAAATAAATGACCAGATCTCTGACATGGCTCTCTGCTTCAGTTATTCCTGGCTGTGCAGCATCAATATCACTATTATGATCAAACAGATGCCAATCAACCAACTGTCTCCCCTCCCAAAACAAACAAACAAAAAAACAAAAAAAAACAAAAACAAAGCTTTAAAGTGGGAAATCAATATTGGATGTTAGTAATATCGGCTCAGTTTTATACCAATATTCTAAAAAATGACCAATATCGGCCGATACCAATATTAATGCTGATATATCGTGCATCTCTACTATAAATTATACACCAGTTTTCAGTAAACTGTGTAGGAGCAAATTAACTAGAAGTATTCATATGTGGGTGCAACAAACAGGAAAATGTGCTGTTTACTTCATTATTTAAAGCATTTCAGCATCGAAGAGTGTTGACCATGTTCTTTAGTTGGCCATGAAATGGAGTAAAACTCATTTGGAAAATGTGTTTTTGGCTTTGTGTGTGTTACTGCTTCCTAAAACAAGTAACTTTGCTTCAAAATACACTTGGACCAATGCAGTACTCCCAAATATGCACAAAAAAGTTCATGTCAACATACCATTTAATTTTTTTTCAAGCAGTGCTTGGTCTTTTATTTGTTCAGAGTTCGTCTTGACCTCATATTTGTTGGCCAACTCATCAAAACCATGATTAAGAAGTGTACACTCTCAGAGATTCTTGCACAATTCTCATGAATTTACACGGGTCTCATACAACACTCACTGGTAGCAACTCTGGCATGTTTACACAGCAACGTCTTCAACACATGCCATTAAAAGTGGTGCAGAGCTCGCGGTTCATTAAGTGTGTCATCGTTCGGCTTTTTCATTTTCAAATCTTTGGCTGGGAAGAGAAAGTATTAGATGACATTTTTTCCCTCGTTGTTTTTCTGGAAAGCCTTGGAAAGTCATAACATAACGAGAGTTGAGATCACCACATCTTAAGCTGCAGCTGTGCTCATTAGCTGTGAGAGGATTTGGACGGTTTTGGATGTGGAGAATTTGCTCGAAGAGCCGGGGCTGGTGGCTTGACGGAGTGTTTTCTGACTCTGCCGATGCCAAATGCCATCATCCCATGTGTGAATGGGAACGAAACGACCCGGGAAAGGGGTAAATAAGTTGCTCTGGCTCGGCCTCCAGATGGGAGTTATCACAGGAAGTGGGTAAGGTAATGCATCCTGAAGCATCTTGGGAAAACGCTCGCTCTTACTCATTCCCAGATGGCCAGCACGGCTTTATTCATTAAAGGTACGGCAAGGAAGAAAAGTTAGTTGTGGAAAAAGCATGGATGTAATTTGGCTCTGTGATTGTGGATTTTTCTTCATAATGTCCTTGTAATTACGCCTTCGAACAGCACATGGTCTGTCTTGAAAACCTTGCTGAGGGGTGCACTATGATGCCACACTCGCAAATACTACATTAGTCCTTTAGCAGTTGTAGACTTCACTTGATAAGAAGTAAAATAAAAAAACGTAGCCTTTTTTAGMTCTTAATCTCTGTCTTGGAATCATAATATTGCTTACACATTCTTTGTGTGGTTATAATTATAGGGCATTCTCAGTTCGCCCCCAGAACTCTTAACCTTTTATCAGGTGTAACCCTACACTCGCCTCAACGTTAACCCTTGTAGCCCCGGTCCTGCCGCTTCCATCCAAACAAAAGGTAATTGTGAGCAGCTGTGGAGCCCCCCACGACTGACTTTTTTTTAAAGAAAAGGTCTTGCAAAAATACTTCCTGCCGTGAAGCGGCGCACCATGGCCAAGCGATTTGATAAGATGTGAAAAATCGAAAAAAAAAATTAAGAAGGGCAGGTGATGTGATGGATGTTTCGCTTGCTCTTTCAAAACAAACCAAGAACTAAGATTCATTCACTCTATTTTCTCTGCTTTACCTTCTTTATCCCCAACGTAGTTTTGTCTCAGCCTGTCACAATRAGACATTTTGCTGGACGATAAATTGTTGCGATAAAWARTAATATTGTTTGGAGACCATTTTAAACTAATATAATGATCAACAGCTACTGAAGCTGTAAAATCACTTCCCGCAGAAACTTGRGAAACTTACGGAAGTTTATGCAATTTACGTGAAGTTACGGACGGACTGGGAGCAGAGTTTGTGATAAAMAACACAAMAACTACTGAAGCTGTRACATCGTTACACACCTCTATCCAAGCTGGCACAATTTATTCTGGCTTCATAAAATAATTKCGGTTAMCCTCATGCYGCTTGCGAAGGGTACGAAAAAAAAACAACAACTCATGCTGAACCCAAAAATGGGCACGGTGCCCTGAGGGCGTCCTGAGGCGTCGCCAGCTGAAAGAAGGCGTCGGACAACCGAAGACGCTCCTTTAGCTAAATGCCTGTTCACGAGGCTCTCATGCTACAGAGGTYACGAAACCATGCGCCAGGAAAATACCCGACGAGAGAGTTCACTCCGCCCTACGCTAAGGAGTAGAAAAAGAAAACAAAAATGATCTACCTTTTTTTAATTTATCGTACGATTATTTGATTTATAGCTAATCACAACAGGCCTAGTTTTGTCCGAGTTGAGTAACTATTGAGTCTGGATGCAGAGTTCTCGCATGTTGAACTAAACGTTGGCTTCATCTGGTGTGCCATTCATCTCTGTGCCCCCTAAACTCCAAAGTGACGGCTCAAAAGGGCCATTTGAGTTGTGACAATGCTAGGATTGGTGCTCTAGGAGAAATTTTGGGTGAGTTGGTGGGAAGGGGGAGGGGGGGCAGTGTTGCTATCCTCCTCAATCCTCATCATTCAGCAGGCAGGTGGAACACAAAGTCCCCTAATTCTTTTGTTGACTTCTGTGATTTCAAATAATAATAATAATAATAATAATAATAATAATAATAATA